TCAGGTCATTGCTGTCCTGAACCCTTGAGAGCCATCTTGGCACTCGTCTGCCAGCCAGCCCTCCCTCAGTGTCGCGCCCCCTACTCGACCCACCCACACTATTTTTGCCTTAATTTCGCCATTGATTTCATGCACACACACACATCATTTGTTAACAAAAAAGGACTGCAATAACTAGAAAGAAAATTGACTTGTACAGTTTCGGTTACGCTATATACCGCCCCCCGAAGTGCTGCAGACAACAAAAGCAGCTTTTCTACCACCCACAGGATACAGCTTTCGTCACACCGCCACCGCCGCCAACTCTGCCTCCTTCACAGTCCGTCGTATTTTTGTTGCGGGAACGGAGACGTCGGGGCGTCGTCCTGTTCCGATTTATGCACTTGCTTCTGCTAACCCGAGGTGCAACAGAGAGACGGCAAATCGCTCCGACACTCGCTATCTCTCTCCTGCCGGTGCTTCTGACGACGGATCTTTATTCGCACAACCAATGCCTCTACCTGCCTCCTCCATGTACCTACACATATACATATACCCATATCCCCCCGCCCGCCGCCACAGACAATGCGATGACGACCACAGGCATGGCTATGTGCAGTCTAGACCTTCTGTCCGCTAGGTCGCCGCTGTCCGATTGCTCACCCATTCTCACACTGTTTCCGGGAATACTGTCGCAAGGCGCTCACACACACATTCACACAAAACTCACAGTCAAACTCTGTGAATTCTGCGTTGCCTCACTCGCTCTCGTGTGTCGTTTAGATCAGTCATTTGCTGCCCCCTGCCCCGCCCCTCATTACTGTGCGGTCGTCTTTCTTATATTCTCTTACTATTTGTCCTTTTTTTCTGTTTTCGAGAACCGCATAAAATCGAGATCTCAGTCTTTACTCATAGAGTACGAACGCCTCTTCTCTTTCGTGAACAACAACAACAACCCTATGAGCGCGTATGTGTGCGATACTGTAAACTGTCGCCATTTTCTGCGTGTTTGATGTCGGCTCCAAAAATTTACACGTACCATTGGACTTGGCCGTACGTTTCTCTGTCATTGGGCGACTGAAATCCAGTTCGAAAGAATCCGTATTTCATCGTCTTCACACACACAATGTGAGCACCTACCATGCTGAGAGAAGAACAGGAATAGCGCGAGAGTGGGGAATTGTATTATACTGAAGCTTGATTGCGCAACGCGCATCTCTCCACGTCTCTGTACATCCGCCATGTACTGCGCGGTAGATAAAGCCAAGAAGAAAAGGTATTGGTGTGCGCGCAGTGGTTGACTCGAAATAAGGCGCCTGTCTACGTGTATCAGTATCAGTATGTAGGTGGGTTAGCTTTGAGTTTCCCATTTGTACATGGGTGTTGTAGTATCAGGAAAACGGTACCTCACTTTGAGAAAAAGACGACTTGATCGCTGGGCCAATACTTTTGTTCGCCTGACGTTTCGACATCCGTCGCGGATTCATCATCAGAGACATTAACAGAAAACGGACCCGTTTCTGGTATCTTTCCTTGTTGGTGAGGCCAGTTGGCATGAGCCAGTGAGGTGGAATATTGTTAAAAAAAACAGACAGTGAAAAAACTCCATGGGATCATTTAGGAGAAAAAACTGTCGCTCCTGTCGCAGAGGTCACCGAGGCCATCATCGGAGTGTGTCAACCTCATTGCCCGGAGTTCACCAATTAGGATATCCCATTGTCAAGGACTGCCACAAGGGTTACATTAGACGAGGACCCTTTGTGGCCTGATTTTTAGTTCGAAGGAGGAACCGGATATTTCATTTATGAGAAGTTTCCAATTCATTACTTTTAGTCAAGCAGGTTAGTTGTAGGTGTGAGATTTATTATAGTTAAAAGACGCTGGCGGTAAACCGGCATGAGGAAGTTACCTCAAAGTTGAATCCACTATCTTCCAACTTTGAGTCAGACCGACTTCCTATGAGATTGAATTGACGTGGAACAAATCCCCATTTAATTTGTGCTAAATACCAATCTTTTTGACCTCAGTTGAAGTCGAAAACAAAAAAAATCAGTTGGGCTTGCGGGGTTAGGTACGCGTGGTAAGATCATTCTGCAGTCATCTGAGGTTCACAAGCTCACTGACTTGCTTTAAAATGACATTTCGTGTGCGCATGTGCTTGGGGTGGAGGAACTATTCTCTGCTTAGTCGTCACACCATAATATTTTGGACCGGTTGTTTTCAAGCAGACGAGGGTAGCCGATGTGTGCATCATGACATCCAACAGTGCACTCTCATTTTTCAGCCTCTTCTTTCTGATTAACAGTTTCTACGGGGTGGGCAACAGCGTACCCATGAATGAACCAGGCGACTTCCGGTGACCTTTCTATCGTAGCAAATGCATGACTCACAGTGGAGTTTGCCTCCTTTTTGAGGTAGCATTGCTTAACCTTGGGTAAGAGGTAAGAAAATAAAAAGGACACACTTAACAGATTCTAAATAATCAGACCATCTGCCAGCCGTGGCCAAAACACGGTCTCAGCAACACACAAACCAGTTACAACCTCTATCTCAAGGGCCCCACAAACGCTAACAGAGCGTGCCCTGTCACTGGTAGATTAGTATGCTTGTACACTTTTAGACTCCACTGAAGCATCACCCAGAAAGGGTGTATAGCGCATTGGTGAC